GTGCTTGTCACCTCTACATGCCAGTCACATGACTGTTCTCTGCCTGTCCTTTCTGAAGCCATCCAATCTCAGTATGGCCTGTCATCTGTAGGTCACCTGTCTCACCAGAGGCCCATCATTCCCATCTCTGAAGATGGCCATGTGGTCCCTTGATGCTTAATTCTTTTGGGAGAGGACCGCATCTCCCAAAGCTGAGGGAAGATGTGACTCTGTGGGATGATTTGGGAGCCTCACGTATAGAAAGGGAGCTATTTCTGAGGCTGCCTACAAGGGATTTGTGGAGGAGTGGACATTCCCAGGGGACATGCCTGGCTAGGGCCAGACTCAGCTGTATGGCTTGGGCCCACTGTCCCCATGTAGGTCCAACTGCCCTTGTGGCCTATACATTCCCACCACAAATAGGGATCCAGCTGAGGAGTGGAGTGGGCGTCTCTCCCCACCTCCCCACAGCTCCTGAAACCTTTGTGTTGAGGAAATATTTCACTTACAAGACACCCAATTATCCTACAAGGTTTGCAAGGCAAGTCTGAAAGCCGATCGAATCTAGCAGAACCATTTCTGCATAACAACTACTTAATACCCAATCATAACAATTATACATAATTTGTGTTTACAGTGCCTGGAAGATTAAACTCCTCCGCACAGACACTCTCCAAAACAGGCCTAGAACGTGCGGGGCAGGCAGGGCTGCCACTCGGTGTGCCCATGGGCTGCATTTGGCATGCTATACACAGCAGCTCTCGTACTGGGTGGATGGGGTGAGGCTGTCTAGGCCTGCTTCTCAGGGCTGGATTGAGCTAGGGCCTGGCAAGAAAGATATGCTGGGACCTCTGGAAGAGGGTGAAGGCAGCGCCCCACCACTAGCCCCTTAACCATCTGGGTTCTGCAGAGACTGGACATCTGTTATCCAGTGCCAAGACCTGAGGTCCAAGGTATATGGCAGGGGTGGGACCTGAACTAGTCTAGAGCTGTGGGCAGTGCGCCCTTCCCAGGGTTCAGCCTGTTTGCCTTTGGTTGTTTTCTTGTTCCTGTTGTTTTTGCTTGTTTCAGTTTTGTTTTTTTTTGCATTTTCTTTTCTTTTAAAGAGTGTTTTGTTTTTAACTATATGTGTGTGTGTGTGTATGTCATATGTGGGTATGTCTGTGTAAGTGCAGGTGCCCACTGAGGCTAGAGAGGGTGTCAGATCCCTTGAAAAATGAAGTTACAGGTAGTTGTATGCCACCTGATATGGGGGCTAGAAACCACACTTGATTCTCCTGTAAGGACAGTTCATCCTAACTGCTAAGCTATCTTTTCAGCCTCAGGGTTTTTTGGTTTAATTTAAGGGTTTTGCCATGTATCCCAAGTTGGCCTTGAACTCACTATGTAGCCCAGGCTGATGTTGAATTCATAGTAACCTCCTGCCTCAGTATCCTGAGTGCTGAGATTACACACATATGCTACCATGCCCAGCTTTTCTGATATGAGCTGTCTGGTTCATCAGCACCCAAAATTTCCTTCCAAGATCTGCACAGGGGGACCCAGTATGAGGAAAGAGCTCACTGCCCCTGCAGACACCACCTGTTCTTGTTGCTGGCTTTTTTTGGAGACTGGGCCATCTCCTACTCTCTTTGTCACTCTCAGATATGCTAGACTCCACTGATGTCCCAGTCGGCATCACTTGGCACTTGGCACTAGGCTCAGCCTGGGGTCAGGGCCCATCTGTCCCTCCAGCCCTTGCTACTGGACCTGCCTGCTTTTCCAAGCAGGGAGAATAGGATTTTACCCCCCTCCCCACCCCGGACCTGACTCTCTCACTTCCTTGGAGATTGTCCTGCCCCATCTGTGTGGGCCCCAGGCATGTACCCAGCACACTGGTCACAGAGTCACAGCAACACCCTCTAGCCTATAGAATTGTATATTCCTTGTCCCTGCCTGTCCTCCAAGTGTTAGACGCTAACATTCTGCCTATTTTCCCATTGAGCCTAAGAGTTGGGATAATGTAGCTCGTGAGCATCCCCAGCCAGGGTCTGTACCAGTAGACCTCTTTAGTCCTGTGGCCCTGGACTCACAAACTCTCACTGGGGAGTTCCAGTCTGCTCAAGAGTATGGCAGAAGCAGGCCTGGGCTGAGGTGTTGCATTTGATGATGAAGGCTGTGCACACTTCATTAACCATCCAGATGTATCTCTCTCCACAGCCTGTTCCAGCACTATTGCTACTCTCGGGGCGGCATGCGCCACACTTCCTACACCTGCATCTGTTGCAGGTAAGTCTTGGTCCCGGGCCTCCTGGGGGAGGTCAGGAAAGTGGGGAGCCTAGGGGCAACTGCTCACTCGTGTGCCTACACCAGTGCCTGGACAACCAAGTCTAGAAATCACTTTGCCCTCTAAGGCAAGTACAAAAAGCTGCCCTTTGTGAGCCACTGCTGGCACTCCATGCCCCGTCACATTTGTACAGGTAGCAGAAAGGCTGGCAGACTAGGATGGATGGCTGCCGTGTGCAGGAGGGGTGCTGGATAGACAGAGTTATTTGGGGGACTCTTGTGTCCTTGTGTAGGTGTGTGCACATAGAAGTCAGGGGGTGAACTCAGGCTCTGTGTGGGTGTCTCAGTCACTGGAGGTGCCTATGTGCACACTGAAGCTGTGGGTGTCATCCCTGTGTGGCTGGATGTGCTCCAAGGGTACATGTGTGGTAGATCTAGCCATGGACATAGGGACCACCAAGGGCTGTGACTGTACTGCTGTGGTTTCCAGGGGTGTGTACAATTGTGTGAGTGCCTAGTTAAAAGTGTCATTCTGAGTGTGACTGCATGGCAGCTATGGGTGGCCTCTTGTGTCCTAGGGCTGACCCAAGCTAGCCTCCCAAGTTTTGCCCCTCTAGTCTGGCTCCTGTTCAGCCTGGACAGAGGTGGGTGGCTCACGCTGATGCAAGCATCCTCACACATGAATAATACATGCAAACATCTCGGTCCTTAGAAATGTTCTTCTCTGGTAGATAGAGAGAAAAATCATTATTTCTACTTTTATGATTCCTGTGACTCCCAAATGGGGCCATAAATATTATACCCAGGTGGGTTCCCCACACACACACTTTGGGCAGACTTGTAAGTCCTTTTTTTCTTAAAGGCATTGCTCTTTAGGGTAGCTTCATGGAACAGGGAAAGAAGGAGCCACTGGGAGGACTCCAGGGCAGCTCCTGAGACTGCTGGGGCCCTTCTCATGAAGCCCCTCTGCCTTCAACCATCAGGAAAAGGGGCAGTAAACCTGTGACCCTCCTTTCTGTATTTTGCATATGCTGCCTACATCCCCAGCCCAGAGGGCAGCTGCCGGAAGCCCTGCAGAGGATGCTCCTGTGAGTTGAGGGGCTGCTACCAGGTGGCAGGCAGGGACACCATGCTCCGGAGTCCAGACTGTGGGCCTTCCAGCCTCCCCCTTGGCCTCCAGGGCCTGCTGGGTGACAGTGGGCTCTTGACGACCCTCCCCAACTCTTTGCAGTGGTGAGAATGCAGCTGTGCTACACTACGGACATGCTGGGGCCCCCAATGACCGAACAATCAAGGATGGAGATATGTGGTAAGTGAGGGTGAGACGATGCCCCACTGTGCATATGGACAGCTTGGCCAGAGGTGGACACTCTCCATCAGGGTCAGCCAAGGCCTCTGGGTCCCTGTCCCAATTCAAGGCCCCAGGCCTGCTTTCAATTCAGATTTCTCTGCTACAGCCATCAGCCTGTATGCTGCCCTCTCTAGACCAAAGGTCTGCATGCTACAAGTAAGCACCATGAGGCAGGGTACCAGACAGGACTCCCTGTGGTTTCCTTTGGGGCTGTGAAATGTGTGAAATGGTAGGGTGGGGGGCACTTTCTGACCTCTCCCAGACTGTCCTTTCCAACCAGTAAACCCCACACCAACCCCTTGTCTCCATGTTGGGAGACTAGGAGCCCCCCACCCTGAAACCCGCCAGCCTCAGCTCCTGGCCACATGCAGCCATTGCCTCAGCTCTGCCGTGCCCTCAGCCCCTCAGAGGCCATGGTAGGGCAGGTATGGGCAGAGAACTCTGGGCTTGGAGGGGTCTTCCACCCACAGATGTGGCCCCTCCTCATAGTCATTTGTTGTTCCCCACCTGCGCCTTCCATCATCTGGACCTTGTCCAAGCCTGACTCAAACCTGCTGGACTGCTAACGCCCATGCTGAGGCCTAGGACTTGGCCACAAGCTGCACAGACCCATCCTGCCTTGGCCCTCAGATGTGCTGTGAGCATTGGCTGACCCAAGAGGGTCCCTGTTGCCTGGTTCTTCGAAGTCTCTGGGTTTTTGTTTGGTTTGGTTTGATTTGATTGAGACAGAGTCTTAACTATGTAGCCTTGGCTGGCTATGAATTTACAGCAGTCCTCCTGCCTCTGCCTCCCAAGTGCTGGAATTATAGAGCCACCATGCCTGACCGGTTGTTGAATGTCTTTTGGTCCATTATTCAAAGCTAGGCTCCTAGGCTGTATTATGGCCTCATCTTGGGTTGGCTGGTGATGCCTGACTGGGCTGTCAGCTTCTTCCTCAGCTGCCTGCTGCGCTCACTTTCCAACCTGAGGTTCCCATGATGACTGCTCACTGGGCAACCTTGGCCCTGCAGCTATAGTGATGGGTGCTCCCCAGTGTCCCTAGCCCATGTCTACTGAGGGGGTGGGACACACACACACACGCACACACACACGCACACACACACGCACACACACACGTGGCCCATGTCTACTGAGGGGGTGGGACACACACACACACGCACACACACACACACACACACACGCGCGCGGACAGACAACTAGCTGAGAGAGAAACAGCATGTCACTGTCAAGTATGAGTGACAACCCACACAGCCCCATGGTCCCCCCTGCCACAGAGCATGCCAGCACATGGCTGGCCTGTCTGTGTGCTAGGGTCACCTGCTAGATGGGACATTATGGCTCTGGCCAACAGTGATTTTCTATAAAGAAAGTCTCTTCTCTCTCTGAGCCTCAGTTTACCCATCTGTGAGTAGTGATCACAGATCTACAGTAGTGATCACACACACACACACACACACACACACACACACACACACACAAATACCTTAGGACTCCCCATGATGGTGGCAGAAAGGGTGTGTTAAGAACACAAGGGCTGAGTGAGATCTTGCCCCAGGAGCCCAGGCCAGTAAGTCAGATAGGAGGCAGCAGGACGGGAGTCCAGAGTGGCCCTAGAGACAGACTACTGATCACTGCCCTCTCCCAACTCCAGCCCAGACCACAACAGGCCTTAGTGTCCATCTCTCTGGCCTGTCTTGCTGCACAAGTCCACAGAACCAATATCATCTGAAGGCTGCATAGAGCCCAGGAATCGTGGGCTGGTGTCTAGGCCTCAGGGTTGTGCTGAGCTGCCTCTGCTCAGTGGGCTCAGTTGGACACTGGCTGGGGTCCAAGGCATTCAGTGATCCTGACAGGGATGTTGATTTTTCCCACACAGCCCTCATACTGACCTGGCACTGCCTTACCCTGTGGTTGAGATACAGGAGGGTGCTGGGCTCATAAGTGGGGCCAGAGGGATTTGGGGGAGGGTTGGCTGCCTCAGACTTGGCTCAGTTGGAGACAAAGGAGAGGAATAGGCCCTCCCCTCCTAGGTCATGACTGAGCCATGGGTAGCCAGAGAGGCCACTTTGTCTCTTCAGGGACTCTCGATAGCCCTGAGCTCTGCTGTCCTCCCCCATCCTACTCATCCATTCCATCCGCATACCCCACCCTATGGTACTCGGTATTAAACCTAGGGCCTTAAGCATGCTCGTTTAATGGTCTCCCACTGAGCTGTACCAACCCTATCTTCTTTTCACTTGTTATTTTGAGACAGAGTCTTACTGAATTTCCCAGGCAGGTCTTAAAGTTCCGATCCTCCTGCCGCAGCCTCCAAGTAGCTGTAGGCCTGTACCACCAAGTCCCGCTGCCCAGGAGCTTTTCTGATACTTTGGCCCTGTGACTGGCTAGACTAGGAAGACAGATCACAGGAACCCAGTCCCAGGGCAGAGGCTGAAGTCACCACAGCAGCAGGTCCCTGTCACCCTGGTCTGGCTGTTTGGAAGCCCCGCCATAGCCATGGGGCTATGAGCTTGGCTCTTCTGTAAGTTGAGCACACCCCAGAGAGAGCAGCCACTTTTTCCCTTACCACATTATCTGCCCCAGAGGAGGTTCTTACCTGTGAGAGTCCAATCTTACCTGCATTCCTGGGGAGCCTAGCGATGGGTAGGGTGCTGTGTACTCCGGGCCTCGTGGGCAGCATGTGGCACCTGTGCCTCCCAGTGCAGCTGTGAGCAGGAGTGATCTGAGGAAACCCATGGATGTTCATGCCAAGCTCAGATTGGTGATTTTGTTTTTCTAGTGTTAACTTTGAAATGTAGCCAGTGGAATAATTATGAGTTTATTATAGTCAATTTATTATGCAGCATTTAGAACATGTTTTGTTGATTACTGCTACTGCCAGATTGCTGGCGGCATTTATAATCCATTGTTTTATTGAAATTGATCTGCTGAGCGCCTACTGCGTTCAGTAAATAATAAATCACTCTGTTATCCCAACATAAAAGCCACGGTGCTTCATCATAAGGTAGGGGTCTAGTGTGAATAAGGGGTATAGAGTGGAGTTTGTCCGGAAGCTGAGTGCCCCCCAGAGCAGGCCTTCTGTTCTGGATACCCATCACAGTGGTGGGTTCTGGATCCTAGCCTTTGACATGGGGGAAAACATCCTAGAGATAGTTTCACAAAAATAGGACTGTTTGGGGAATCAGAGCTGGTCCAAGGACGGAGATGCTGAGTGGGAGTCAGCCCCTTCTGTCTCCTGGTAGTCCCAGGAGTGGGCACTACCACACTCTTCAGCATATGCACATGCACCTGGAGTCATGTGTGATCCTGAGCTGAGAGGGTCCTCCTTCTCCCTAGCTGAGTGTTCCCTCCCACCTAAGTTTTGCCATCTATTCATGTATTAATGTGGGTGAGGGATCACAGAGCTTCTGGCTCCAGGGAAATTTGGGATAATACATACAAAATGGCGGTCATGAAGCCTGGCACGGTGTGGGCCCACAGCAGATAAATGGTGCCGTGGTACTGCACAGCCAGACAGTGCAGGCCTCTTCCTTCTACTTTTGGGGTCCCTGAAACCAATTTTCCAACCCTGGACCAGGGTGGATCCCAAATCAGGCCTGGTTTATTCAGACAACTTGTATTCTCTTTGGTTGGTTGTTTTGTTTTGTTTTTAAAAAAAATTAAGTTGAAATAGAGTGTCACTCTGTAATCCAGACTGGCCTTGAATTTACAGCATTGCTTCTGCCTCAGCCTCTCAAGTGCTGAGACACAGGCATGAACCATTATGCCTGCTTACAAAGAGTGCGGGTCAACTGTACCCACTCCCCACCTCCTTCCTCCTTTCAGTAACAGGAGTTTCCTTGGAACCAGCCAAGGTCAGTGCCAGCCACTGTGGGGCCTAGTACTCAGCCATGGTCCTGGATGTTGCCCTAGCTGGTTTGTACTGCAGGTTGAGCTCATCAGCCGAGAACTGCAGACCATCCCACACCCCAAGCCTGTGGCCCCAGGGCCTCTCCTTGTTTCTCTGGGCCAGATCCCAGCCCAGCTGCTGCGTGTGGATCCCAGAGAAGGAATAGGACACGTGTAGCTTCAGATGCCTGGGCCTCCGGCTCAGTTCAGAGCCATGAGGCTTGTGCAGGGCCTGTGACTGTGAAGGCTCTTGGGATTTTTCTGCTGGCTCCCAGAGCATTTTCCAGCTGTGAGCCTGGAGTTCCTCATGAACCCCCTGGTCAGGTCAGTGTCCTGCAGGAAGAAAGCATCAGCTGCTTTTTGTTTTCCTCTTCAAGGCAAGCAGGCAGGGCTGTGACGAAGGGCTGCCAAGTGTGGCAGTCTTGCTTATTGATGCTTCCAGCATGTTCACACAAGGTCAATGGAGGCACTTCCTGAGGGGGAGTCCACAGAAGACTGCTCCCCACTGCATCTGGCCCCAAGTTGGTGGGTGTAAGCACATTTGGCCTGGAGAAACCAGGGCCAGGGGGGGAGGCGGCAGTGGCCACTGCCTCTATATAAGGAATGGCCCTCAGATAAACCTCTGAGCCCCC